TGGGAACACAGGGAAATATGTGAAGATGGCTTTCCCACTGAGAGGCAGAAGGCCAGAGGAGGAAGGCTGCTTTCGTTTCTGGGAAGTTTCTATGTACCAGAACATGGTGTACACCGGAGAACATGAGACCAGCAAAGCAAAGAGCTTCGTTGGTTAAACTCCTCCTCTGAAAGGGATAGGAAATGACTGGACCTAATGTGCTCTGACCTAGGACTGCCCAAGGAGGAAGGGGTGTGGCAGGGCACATGGCAGGAGAATTGGTGGTGCTTCCTCAGTGTTTCCTGTGGGGATGGGCTGGCCAAGACTCCATACTCCAGCTACGATGAGCTAAAGACCAATTACAAGAACCAGTCAGTATAATGCCCTGAATCCTCTTGTACTTTCAGAGTACCTCATCCATGCTTTCTTCTGTGTCATGTTTCTTTGTGCAGCAAAGTGGCTTACACTGGGTCTCAATATGTCCCTTTTGGCATATCCTATTTGGAGGTATATGAGTAGACCACTAATGAGCAGCCCTGGACTCTATGACCTGACAAGCATCATGAATGCAGACATCCTAGCCTACAATTTGCCTCACATTGTGGGCCATTTGAAGTTGAGGTTGTAATGATATCACTAAAGCCAAGATAAATGATAACTGGGTGCTTATTGGGGAACAATTACATAGAAAAATACAAAGAACTGGGGAAGCGTTTCCCTGTCCTGCCTACCGGATCCACTGACCCAACAGAAAGGACCTGCGCAAGCAACCTCACCTTACTTACGCTTCCCTCTTTCCTCTTTCATCCACCTGAAGCCACACCCAAAAGGATGTGGCCATGGTTACAGGTTCACAGACCAGACACTTACACAGTCATGCTGAAGACAGACCTCAAAAGCTCTGGATTGCAGGTGTGCGGGCACACCTTAGAAGTGGACTCTGTTGGCTTTTCCATCTGCCTTCTGTGAGGATGAGGCCAACACAAGTATAGGGTGGCTGGGGGGGGGACAAGGAATGCGGCTCAGCTGGTAAGGGTGCTTGCCTAGTACACATGATGTTGGGATCTCAATTCCCAGCACTCTGTAAACTAGGGTGGTAGGACGTGTCTGTAATCCTAGTTCTTGGGAGGAGAAAGCAGAGTCAGGAGTCCAGGCTCATCCTCAGGTACACAGAGGTATGAGCCCCTGTCTCAAAAAAACAAAGGACAATGAAATACAAAATGCCCTCATGTAAACAATAGACAGGCTAGTGATACAAACGATACGGGTGAATCCCCAACTTCTTTAAGCCCCAAGAGTTTTCTACATTTACACAGGAAAAAGAGAAGATATGCATGGGCTGCCAAGGAACTACAGAGACAGTTCCTCCATTCCTCTATTCTGTGAGTGACTCCTGAGAGCAAGAGAAAGCACAAGTCAGGGACACAAAGGGCACAGACTGCCAGAAGGGAGGTGACATTCACCTTATGTTCCAGGGCACTGTAAGGGCTCAGGGAATCAAAGGCAGCATGGAACAGTGTGGGACTTGTCTGCTAAAGGTCCTTCCAGTGCTAGTTATTAAGTGGGGACTAAACAAGCCCGAACTCCACCCTGAGGGCTTATGATCCATGAAGGGTAAGAGCAGATTCAATCGGACTCTCTGACTTGCTAAGTACACCGTGGTGCTGAGAACTGAGGAAGGTACATCCTTGCTTCACTGAGCTCAGGTCCATTGAAAAAAACAATACAAATGTCATTACATACATGGTTGTTTCTTTGTCACAGTGAACCCAACCTCAGCAAGGATTCCTGGCCTGGTTTAGGGATTGTATCAGAGTCCCAAGGGTGGGGTGGGGTAAACGCTGAGCTCAACAGAGCAGCTAGTCTAGGCAGCTGGAGTTACTGAGGGGAAGTGGAACTGTGTGGCGAGCACAGAGGGTGTGGGTGGGACCCATCAACAGCCAGTAGGAAACACAGCAAATGACTCGAGGCCTCCCGAGGGCAGGAGTGACCACAGGGCCACACCACAATCTACAGCTAGGGTGCCCTGTAACATCAGGTGGGCCTCACAATGAATTTGAAATTAAAGCAGCTATTAACTGATAAGTACATAAATGTCGATCTGGGTCTGAGCAATGAATCCAGAAATCTGAAATGTATCACCCTAGACTGGGGATAAGCCAGTGTGGTGGCAAAGTCATGCACTCCCAGCACTCTGGAAGTGAATTCCAAAGGGTCAGCAAGTTTGAGGCTTGCCCAGGGAATATAAAATTCTATTTCAGGAAGGAAAGAAAAAAGAAACCGTTCCCATCATTTCTCTTCTCTCCCAAGGTAATAAACACCCACACTAACAGATCTAGCTGCTATGGCTCAGCAAACGTGGAACTTGCTGGTTCTGTATCAGTCAGAGATTTCCTTAGCATGGAATGAATTCAGAAACACAAATTGATGATTAGGTTATATAAAAAAAAAATCACTGAGGGTTGGAGAGGAATTGATCTAGTAGCTATCTTTCTGTCCTTATCAGCCTTTGCTGAGAAACAGGCTTCATTGGAGTCACCATGAATGACTCTTAGAGGAGCAGGTCTGGTTAGGAATGCCTGCTCCCCACTAGCTTTCTGGAAGACAAGAGCATACCCATGACAACAGATTTACTCTAACAAGGGAAAACCTGAAGAGTTTGCCTTGCCACTGCTCCGGGTTAAGAGGGATACCATCGCTGTCTCTCCCACCTCTCTAAAATGAATGCTCAGTGTGGCATCAGTAACAGGCACATTTAAAGATGAGTAGGCCTCTGAGGAGCATGTGCTAGCCAAAGTGGCTGAACACATTATGTGTCAGTTTTACAAAACACCAGTCCTTTTCTACTGGTGTTGATGCAGTGTCCACTTGAACAGTAGCTTTGTTGCAGGGCTCTCCTGAACTGAGATATCAGGCTCCAAAAAAGATCACTGTAGTATGCTATACTGCTACAGGAGAGCAGTATCCTGGGAAGATGAATGGCTTTGGCCAGGGTGGTGAAAAGGTATACAAAAAACGATGTCCATATAGGAAGCAGGTATTATAATGTTCACCATTAGGAGACTGGCTGCATAAACAAGTCATCTATTTAATGGAATATAACATGGCCATTAGCCTGCTGCTCCCCTGCCCCCCCCCAAAAAAACCCTCATTGTATTTAACTATAGCCTTCAGTGCTACTAAATAATATACAGGGCGATATGTAAAGACTACCTCACTTTAAAATTTAAAAGAATAAAAATTCTGGGAGTGGTGGCACACACCTTGAATCTCAGCACTCCCAGGAACACAGTTAGGTATATCTCTGAGACTGAGCCCGCCTACTCTATGTAAGTTCCAGGACAGTCGGGATTACACAAGGATACTATTGAGAAAGGTTCTCTGTTGGTGCTAGAGAGATGGCCTAGCAGCTCAGGGTGCTTCCTGCTCTTTCAGAGGACCTACCTGTTCACAGTGGGCATTTGGCATGTGGTGCTTGTTTATGAGCTGAGCACTCTGAAGGCTAAGGCAAGAGGATATTGAGTTCAAGGTCAGACTGGGCTATACTACAAGACCTTACTTCAAAACAAAGTGACCTGTTTACCAAGGGCCCAAGGCTCACAACTAATCTAGACTGGAATATTAAGCATCTGGTACACAGATCTAAGAATTATATGCACAACTCCCTAGAGGCAGATGATACATCAGCAACCAGGGATACCATAACAGGGATGGGTAGAAGGAAAAACAGCATCGATGAAGAAATGACAGAGATGACTACATGAGGTAATAAGTACACCTCAGATCAGCGATGCAGAAATGATAGAGATGGTTACATGAGGTAATTAATACACCTCAGATCTGCCCAAGCCAAGAGAAGGGAGACTGGAAAAGGAAGACAATAGTTTATTTCAACCATTACTTTTCAAAACTGCAAAATGCTTAAGATTATTCTTAGCTGATGTATCAGTAATTTCTTAATTTTCTTCCTCTGTCCATACAGCTGTTTTATCAGAAGACTCAGGGGACAACCTGGCGTCTTGGAACAATCCTTATTCCATGATAGTGCATACCTGTAATCCTAGTGTTAGAGAAACTGAGGCCAGTCCCTGTTCACCTTGGGCTTCATAGGCATACTGTGCACTAAACCAAAACTCCTCTCAAAAGGGCTTAAGAGGTTCCAGAAGACTGGCTCAGTGCCCAGCACCCACACTGGGCAGCTCACAGCTGTTAAGTCCAGCTCCAAGGGATCCCCTGGTGCCCTCTTCTGGCTTCAAGAGACACTCCCACACGTGTGCACACACGCAAACACATAAAGACAAAGCAAAAATCTTGAAGTCTTCTTTTTTTGTTTTGTTTTGTTTTTCGAGACGGGCTTTCTCTATGTAGCCTTGGCTGTCCTGGAACCAGGCCTTTAAATCCCAAAGATCCGCCTGTGCTGGAATTAAAGGCATGTGCCACCACCACCCAGCTTTCCTAAAATTTTCTATGGACGGAAAGACCTGACTGGAACAACAGACTGTCAAATCAACACATTATCTGTAAAGGTAAGGGTCTAGACACAATTCAAGATCTGACATTCCTGAGCAGGAACCCAGGCAAAGGGACTTAAAGCATTCCCATTTAATAAGGTGAAAAGTGGATAAAGATGGGAGCAGAACACGAGGCTTCATTTGCCAGGCATCACCTGGCACCTGGTGCATAGACAGTCCACATTTTAACTGGGTCACGAGAAAGGAACAGCCTAAGGCTTCTGCCCAAGAAGTTATATACAAACGAAACAGTCACTATTTCCCTAATGCAGGCATTTTCACTCTCTCTTCTGACCTCAGACAGAACATAATTTGGATTTTTACCTTTTAACTAGACATGTGGGCAGGAGAGCGGGGTAGGGATCAACCATGCAGAATAGTAGGTAAGGGAGCTTCGCCAGGTAAACCCCCTCTTAGAAAAATGCCAAAAGATGGTGAACAAAACATTTCATTATAACGTTTTATAATGCAAGGACTGGCCAGTTCAGTTCAGTTCTGCCCCCGGCTCACCTCGGAAGAGGCGACTCCGATCTTCTCCGATTCATACATGAGGGACAAGGACCTGCTGGTGCTGGCGGC